GTGTTGCAGTCGGCCCCGGAGAGGCAGTGGGAGTGGCAGCGGCAGCAGCTACAGCGGTTCCAGTTCCCGATCCAGGTCATTGCCAGGGTCCTGTCTCCCCGGGCAGTGCCCTGATCCCCACACCAGCTCTGAGTCTCCCAGGTCCGGGAAGGAAGGCTGCCCCCGCCACAGAGACATGCCACAGCTATAAGCCATGCAGGTGCTGGGCCACCACGAAGGCAGCAGCCGTGCTTCCGAGCACCCCGTCCCCACGAGAGTGCCTGACGGTCCCGGAAGCCAGGGTCTTCTAACTCAGGGAGCTGTGGGCCCCAGCTGTCAGGACAGAGGCGCAGCATCAGTCCTCCGTCGGTGCATCCGACTCCGCGCCTAGTGTCTGAGCCACCGCTGTATGGGTGTGCCTCCTCCCAGGTTGGAACTGTTTCTTAAACATCAGGGCTAGGGACCGGCAGATGGTGCAGTGGCTATGACGCTGGACTCCCACGTAGTCGACCGTGGTTCGAGTCCTGGACCCAGTGGGTAAAACTCACACCGGGTACTAGTGCGTGCCTGCCCAAAATCCCCAAGATAAGAATAGAGAAGGGATCAGGCGTGACCATCCCCTGGGGGTGATTTCTTGCTCTCTGTCTCTGTCTCTGTCTCCCTGGTAAGCACATCGCCCTGTAGCAAACATCTCTAAGAGGAAACATTAGGAGTGAGCAGGGCTGTTTCCTTGGCCGGCCTGTGCCCATGCTCTCGGGGAGTGCTGATGGGTTCCTGGGTGTGCCAGGCCGAGGGGCACTGCCCCACCTGGAACCTCCTACACTGAGGCCCCACAGGCCCATGGGCCCCCTGGTCTGCAGCCACCTTTGTGCCCTTGGAGGCACGCCTGAGACTGGGGCCTCGTCTCGGCCAGCCGCCCGCAGGCGCGTGCCGGCGAGGGCTCCTGCCAAGCCCACGTGTACGGTACTGCTGCGGGCCTGGCCTGTTTGCAGCGTGCCCTTCCTCAGTGACACGGGCCCAGCTCGGTGGCCTGGACGTCCGTTGAACCGCGCGTTGGGGGTACGTGTTCAGGGAGGTGGCACTTTGGGAAGTGGGCTGCAGAGAGCCACCGTGGCCCAGGCCACGTGCAGATGAACTGTGTGTGTGACTAGGTCCCTGAGTGTGAGCAGCGTGTCCTCGGTGTCCAGCGCCACGTCGAGTAGCAGCTCAGTGCGGACTGTGGACTCTGACGACATGTACGCCGACCTGGCCAGCCCCGTGTCCTCCGCCAGCTCACGGTCGCCGACCCCTGCCCAGACCAGGAAGGAGAAAGGTGTGTGACCCCGGAAGGCTGTGCCCTGGTGACAGCACTGCCAGGCTGCAGGTGGCTCAGGGCACAACGTGACTGGGGCTGGTCATTGGCAGGAAAATCTAAGAAGGAGGACGGCATTAAGGAAGAAAAGCGGAAAAGGGATTCGTCCGCACAGCAGCCCAGATCCTCGAAACTGCAGGCCGGCGGGAAGTCCTCGCAGCAGCCCACGCCCCCCCCACAGGGCCCCCCCGGGCAGCCCCCACAGGGCGCGTTTGTCACCCACAAAGAGATCAAGCTGACCCTGTTGAACAAGGTGAGGCCGGCGTGCAGGGCCGCCAGGGCTGCCTTGGGTGCTTCCGGCCAGAGGCCAGTTCTCCGCGAACTGGAGACCAGGCCTGTGGCCTCCACACCCACACTGGCTCACCACGTCCATGGCAGTGCTGGCCTGCCGGGGCAGCAGCTTCCACAGGGAGCAGTTGGTTCTGCCAGGGTCCTTGTCTGCAGACTGGCATGCCAGGGTCACGGGGTCCCCAAGTGCTCAGTGGGCCCCCGGGATATGGCAGTGCCATCCTTTGCCCAGGTCATGGGACCTCGCTGGGGAGAGCCAGAGCAGGGGCAACACCATGGGGGAGGGCGCACTGGCACGAGGACATGGGGGCTGCCGTCCTGTCGCCTGGTGGTGGCAGTGCAGCCGGCGTGCTGACCCACCCCTGCTGTTGCAGGCAGCTGATAAAGGAAGCAGGAAGCGGTATGAGCCATCAGACAAGGACAGGCAAAGCCCTCCTGCCAAGCGAGCCCACCTCTCCCCAGACCGCGGTGAGTGTCCCCAGGCTGGTGGGCCAGGGCAGCAGAGCCACACGAAGCACCAGCAGGACCTGAGTAGTGTCACTGCAGGGCCTCGGCAACCTATTGACACTTTAAAGTGGTTAGGAGAGCCAGACCCTGCATGGCCAGCAGTGGTTTGAATCCCAGCCCCAGCAGCAAAAGCCCAGTACATCCACGTGCACAGAAGCCTGGCAGATGCAAAGACGGAAGAAGAGGGGTCGCAGCACTACCCCGGGGAGGGGTGTCTTCCCTCTGGCAGGCAGTTACACCTCCTGCGATAGATTACAAAGACGGGGACTCCCGGAGACCGTGATCGTGGAGTTTTATCTCCCGGTACTGAGCAGTCGGGACAAAAACTCCGAAGAATTTTGAAATACTTATGTACTTAGGAATAACAGTGTGTGTGTGTGGTGGGGGAGGGCATGTAGCATGGTGGTTAAGGCGCTGGACTCCCACACGGCCGACTGTAGTTCAAGTCCTAGACTTAGTGACCTGAAAATCACACCAGACGCATGTGTGTGCCCGCCCAAGCTCCTGAAAGGAGAATGGAGAAGGGACTGCGGTGTGGTCATCCCCCCGGGGGGTGATCTCTCGCTTTCCTCTTGTCTCTGTCTCTCCCGCAAGTGCACATGCCCTGGTAAAAACTGAAAGGGAGAGAACTGCAGGAACAGCAGTAACCAGGGCCGTGGGCGCAGACACCTCTGAGAGCGACACGTGGCGGGGCAGCTTGGCGGCCGAGCGCCGGCCGGGAGCTGCCCAGCGGGCCCTGCAGCGCCCCATCTGTCCAGCACAGGGGTGGATCCGGCCGCCCCCACCCTGGAGACGACC